GAATTTTATAAGATAAATAATGTGAAACCAAACACTGTACATGTTAATTCTTAACCCCTACACACCATGCGCAAAATACGCAAAAAGGCCTCAAACTTTTGAGCATTTAAGCATTAAGGTCCGTGGCCGCAACGTAGTGCTGGAACCCTCTCTCCCGCTTCGCCGAGGGGGAAGGCAGGGGTGAAAGTGCATTTCCTTTTCCGGATGTATCTCCCCACAACCAAATAGTAGGGGGCGTAAGCGATGCATGGCCAAACGCCGGAACCAATCGAAGAAGGCTGTGGGAAAATGTGATAAAACGCCTGTTTACTAATTCCCCTCCGAAAACAGTTGTATTTTCCGCTTACATGTGGTTCCTAATGTAAATAAATTTGACACCTCGTGACTGTGCCCTTCATATTTAAGGGACTTTGCGGCTCAAGTGCGCGAGAGCTGAAAAACTGTTGATTAAACGTAGGCCTAACATGTTCCTCAGACCCATCAGCTGCGGACATCAACCACTTCACAGTTCCGTTTCGTCGTCATGATGGGGTTTTCTCGCGTTTACTGACAAAGGTTAGTAACGTCAATGGACAAATATGATTTTTTCTTGTAGTTTCTTCTGTTTTCCCCACACATTCCCCCGTACTTTCCTCCTCTGACGCTGCATTACCGAGCACCTAACCTAACTTAAAACCAACAATTGTAGTTTTTATTCCGGTATCGGTGTTTAATGGTGCAATTTAGTTGCTGGCGATAAATGTATTGTTTAAACAATTGTGGGATGCCAATTTATTTCCCCATTTATCGATACAGTTCCTACATCATTTCAAAGATCTTGATGCTCAACATTTGTTGGTGTTTGTTTTCATTCCCACTATTCACTTGCCCTAATCAGTAGAAGTGTGCACCCAGTCGCAAATTTGGGACTTTTTCCTCAGTGTGGGCTTGTTTTTTACTGTGAATTTTCAAGCCCATACTCCTCTCAACCAAAGCTGTGAAATGTCTTTTCTGCTCAATTATTTATGTTGTTTTGAAAGAGTGCACATGTTGATGTTATTTGAATTATTCACAGAAAAATAACTTGTGACTCAAGATGGATGAAGATGATATTGGGTCAGAGGATCTCCTGCCACCTGGAGTGTCTGATTCACCCTTAAGGCAGAATCCACCCTGCCCTCCGCCAGAAGACCCATTGCCCACTAGAAACAGGAATCCCTCTCAAGTGTCAGAGGGCGATAACTTTCCCGAAGATGATTCAGATGTTTGCCCACCTGGCACAAATCCAGTCCGTAGAAAACCAAACCGTGAGGAATCCTTGTCATTAGCAAGCAATCCATTTTCATCTCCCACTGGAAGGCAACAAGTATCTCTTGTAGACTACGGAGAAGGTGATGATCCGTCTGCTGATGACTCACAGTGGACTGAAGGAGAATATGATGTGCAGGCTCACCCAATGTACAACACAAGCTCACCTTTCCATAGTCAACAGAGAGGTTACTACGGTTCTAATCCATCCAGTGAGTGGTTGATGCCACCTGGGGAAGATTTTTCAAGCCAAAGCAGGGGCCAAGAAAAAAATCGGAACTTTGGGGGAAGACAAGCATATCAGCATGGAGCCTATGATCAGTGGAATTATGACTATGACATGTACTCTTACCCATACCCGGGCTATGAAAATGGCCCAGACTACCATCAAGAAACAGTGTATAGTGACTTCTCTGGGGCTCAGCCAGCAGCTTTACCAGAACGTCCAGTTCCATTCCGATCAGAGTCCTATAATCGTCAAATGATGTCCAATCCTCCTGCACCTAGCAGTAACCCACCCCCACCGCCTATTTGCAACCCTCCTCCACCAAGTAGTAATCCCCCACCCCCAAGCAGTATTCCACTCCCTGATGACATTCCTATTCCTTCTCTTCCACCTCTCCCACCCTCAGAACCCGATAAGCTGAATGAATCGAAAGAGGAGAGCTCTGCTACCGAAGAACACGATTCTAGCTTGTGAGTATTGATACTAGTCTTTTGTACTATTTGGTTTGGCGTGACACTTTTATATGTTTATACCTTTTCAGTTATTCTCCAAGTCAATCTGCCATGGAAGAGGAGGCACCTACTCCCCAGCCTACACCAACTAAATCAATCTTACCTGTGATTGGCAAAGAACTTGCTAAGAAACGGCTTCGCGCTTTTCAGCTTTCTAAGCAAGCCAATGCAACGAAGAGTCGTATGCCTGATTCTCTAAATGAGAATTCGCAAGATGATGACAGCCCATCTACTCCATCCTCTTCTACTCCATCTGATGAAATTAAGAAAAAGAAATTGAAAGGTAATGTAACTATAGAACAATCACTTTACTTTTGATTATTTTCACTTTGTTGTAAACCTTTCTCTTTTGTGCTGTGAATATTTTAGTTGGTTCAAGAGAAGATCAGTTAAGGGCTACAGTTGCCTCCATCGAAGAGTTAAAAAGACAAGAGCTCAGAGCTCGTTCATCTCATCGTGCCTTGCTAACTATGGAATTTTCTCCTATTGCTCCATTGATTGATCGTGTTTCCAACCCTTTGCTTGCAGGTGAGATAAAGTTCCCCAAACAATACTCCAGAGTGGATAACCCTCCTGATCAGTGCATGTCCTCATCCCAAACCCGTAAACTCCCTTTTGCACTGTCTCCCAAAGGTGTAGTGCATGAAGTAGCTGTTTTAGATTGTGTTTAGCTTTGCCTTTATTGTATCAGATAATGCTGAAGGCAATTTATTTATCTGTTAAATAATAAAGATTTTCCCCACCATTTCAGGTCTTATTGGTAGTGACGATGAAAAGAAGGAAAAGGAAAGTAAGGATGAACGTGCTAGTACCCACAGGGACGATCGCGAGCGACAGCGTCATAGGTTGGTTCTAATAGCTAATTTTACCTTATATTAGACTATGCAGACCCAAGCAAATCTCTTAAATTTATGATTGATTGTATCTTGTGTCTAAGGAGGAGAAGTCGCAGTCGAAGCCGCAGCCGAGAAAAACGGCGGAAAGATAAACACCATGGTAAAGAACATGAAAAAGACAGAGCTAAGGACAAAGGTAAGGAGAGAGACACTGAGAAAGATAGAAGTAAAGTAAAGGAGAAAGAAAAAGAGAAGGAAAAGGACCCAGAGAAAGATAGAGAGAGAGATAAAGAACCAGAACGAGAAAAGGAAAAGGATTCCGAAAAAGATCAAGAAAAGGGCAAGGACAAAGGAAAAGATAAGAGTAAACCAGATGAAGATAGGGTAAGTGCTTGCTCAAATGATCGATTATGAATTTTATCTAAATTCGGACTAATTTTAGTCTCTTTTTATTTTAAAGGACAAAAAGAAATCTAAGAAAGATGAGTCAATACCACAGTCATGGGCAGAATGCTACAGCATGGGGTACAAAACCTATGAAGAAATTAAATCCCTAAATGCTAAAGTTGAAGAAAAAAGGCCAAGCAAGAGGTATTTAGGATAACAAATGCAACACAAAATAGTTTTCTCTAAATGGTACACTTCACTCTCTATAAATTATGTCTCTATTTCAGAAGCAGTGACCGCTCTCAAAGAAAAAGTCGAGACAGAGATAGCGACAAAAAAGATGAGGATTCTGCAAGAAAAAAAGAAACTAAAAAGTTACCCTTTTTTGACTTTCCTAGGCGCATTCTTACACCTATGGTAGTTTTAAGTGAAAAGGCAGACATAGTTTTTCCAGAATCCAAGGTACTTTTATCCTACAGTAAATATTTATTCCTGATACCCCTAAAATTGATCGATGGTACCTAATACTTTTCTCTGTTCATTATTTCCAGCTACGTTACACTAAGACTAAACCTGAAATTGTTTATTGTGGAAATCCAATTCATGCTACAGCTAAATTTGACACCCGTGGCGACATTGTTGAAAGAGCGCCTGATGATATTCTAGAAGTTTTAAATTTCTTTTTTGAAGGAAAACGCAGGTTAGTCCTCTTGTGTCAATTTTACTTATGTTTTAAGTTGTTCATTTAATTTAGACTGATATAAAACATTTCTTCTCTTCTCAGAATGAGGAAAACAAAGAGCTCAGAGGATTTGCCCACAAGACCAGGTTTAGCTGCTTTACAAGAATCCTACGAAGATCCTGCTACTGAAGATGAGAAGGAGTGTGCACAGGACTGGTATCCACAAAAGGACTACCTAATTCCAAGAATAATTGACTCTGATGATGACTATCAGATCTTGAAAACAGATCCAATTATATGTGACAAAACTGGCGCTGCAGAGTCTCTTATTAGTAATGTAGATGTCCCAGAAAATGTAGAAAATCTGAAAGAAGAGTCTAAAAGTCAGGTGGACAATGTTGGAGGTCCAGAATCGGCTACCATCACAGACCGGTCTACTGTTCCATCCAAGTGGGACAGTGACTTTGAAGAAGTTGAAGAAGAGTTCCCTCTCTCCAAAACCGAGCTAGCAAAAGATACTGAAAATCTTTTGGAGAATGTTTCTCTAAAGGGCAACACTGTTGGTGAGACAGAAGAGGATGCAGGTTCTAAAATCCCATCTGTCAGCCCTGAAGTTGTTGATAGTAAAAAAAAGAAGAAAAAGAAAAAGAAGGAGAAAAGAGAACGCACTCCTCTAAGAAGTGGAAATGAAGAAGTTACTGAGAAAGCTAGTATTTCAAACCAGGACAAAACCAGTCAAGTGGATGATAATTGTACTCCTTCTGATGCAAAGCCTATGAATGACTGGGAAGAAGACGAGACGAGAACAGAATCAGAACCTCTTAAGAAACAAGAACACAAAAGTAAAAAAGAAGGAAAAGAAGAGCGTAAGGTTTCCAGTCACAAGGAATCGAAAACTTCTAAAAGAAGGCACTCTGTTCGTGAGGATTCTAAACCTTCTGAGAAGACTGGCTGGGAAAAAGAGGACAGTAAGAGTGAAAGCCATAAGGAAAAAGCTGATTCATCTTCTCCCAAGAAAGACAACAAAAAGCATGAAAGTAGAAGAAAGAATCATGAGACTAGATCCAAAGAAACAAAATCAATCAAGGAGAAGTATACATCTAATGAGTCTGATGTCACTGACATAACTAGCACACAAAAACGAAACTTGTGGGATGATGATGCAGGTGAGACAGCTTCTAAGAATAACAATGGGAATAGTAGTGGTGTCTCTCCTTCAAATGGACAAAACGTTTCAGAAAGTCAAGTGGTCAACATTATCTGTGATGATATTAGCCCTAAGCAAAGAGAAAAGTCAAGGAGGAGTAGAAGTAGTATTAGTGCTGAGAAGGATATTGAGAAAACAAAGAAAGTGAACATGTGGGAAGATGAAATCACAAATTCATCCAGTATTGCTATCAAGACAAATAGTTCAGAGACTTCTGTCAAGCAACACTCACCTGCTGAGGCAAAAGATGAACAGGTTTCAAATCCTCTTGCTTCTGAATATGAAGAATTCATGAAATTAGTAGAAGTTGGGGATGATAATAAGAATGGTGTCAACAAATCAAATGAAGATTCCCAGGACAGTAACAAGTTTGTGCCATCAGAATCAGAAACCAAAAAGGCGGACTGGGAAGATTCCCCTCCGAGAAGTGCTCTGGCTGAGTCAAAAGATGACAAGGCAGAACACCACCGGGAAAAGCAATGGGAAGATGATGTTAAAGAATCTGAAAAGAGTGATAAAAGGGGTTCCAGGGATTCCTCCTTATCAGAATTTGATGCTCAGGAATTATTACTTACCAAAGCTGGACTCTCAAAATCTGACCTAGAACGACTCATGAGTGATAAAGGAAAACGATCTCAAGATATAATCAATCTAGTTGATAATGAATTGAACCGTTTGAAAGAAAAGATTAGAAGTAAGACTGCCAAAAAGAAAAAGTCCTCTAAAAAAAAGAAGAGTTTGAAATCATCTTCATCTGATAGTGATAGCTCATCTGACAGTGACGAAGACACCAAAAAGAAAAGAAAGAAAAGGAAAGTTAGTGGTTCTAAGAAAAAGAAACAGAAGCGTTCAAAGTCATCTAGTTCATCGTCCAGTTCCTCTGATAGTGATACTGAGGATGATAGCAATGACAAAAAGAAAAGTAAGAAGAAGGCAAAGAAAGGTAAAGACAAGTCTATAACCAAAGTTGAGAAGCAGGCTAAAAAAGAAAAAGATCTATCAAAAGACACAGAAGGTAAAGTTAAGAAGGGAAAGAAAGGGACTGAAGATAGTGGACCTCCACCAAGCGCTAAAAAGGACAAAATTAAGGAAAAGGACAAAAAGGTCAAGCGGAGAAAGAAAAAGAGCAAAAACAAAGATTCCAGCACTTCTAGCAGTGATAGTGAAGAATCTTCTGCTAGTGAATCTGAAAAGAAATCTAAAAGAGCAAAGAAAAAGAAAGAAAGGAGGAAGAAGAAAAGGAAAGACAGCAGTTCAAGTTCAAGTAGCACTAGCAGTACTAGCAGCTCTAGTAGCAGCAGTGACGACTCCAGTAGTAGTGATAGTGACTCCGATGACACGTCTTCCTCAGATGAGCCAAAGAAAAAGTCTAGCAAACAAAAGAAGAAGAAAAAGGCTGCACCTGATGGCAAAGATGCAAACAAATCTAAAACCAAAGGTAAAAAAGGTACTAAGGGTGAGAAGTCAGGGGAAAATGTGGAGGACCAAGATGTTCTAAAGAGTTGGGAAGAGGAAATCAGTTCCAGCACTGGGAATGTCGATACAAACTTAGGAGTTGTTAAGCACGTTGAGAGTGAGCCTGCTCTATCTCTAAATTCGGATGTGTCCCTAGAGAGCCAGAAACGCAAACTTGACCAGGTTATCGAAGAGGACAAATTTGACATTGAAAGTGCACACCCAAGCAAAAAGTCCCGTGAGGAAAGCCGAATGAAAAGCGAAGATGAAGAACGATCAAATAGGAAAGAAAAAGATAAGGATGTGAAGGGGAGTTACAGGCAGCGGCTGGACACAGAGAGAGACATCGAAAAGAAGGACCCCATTGAAATGAGAAGACCTCCATCCCCTCGGCACAGTCCTGCACGGGATCGCTCCACGAACAAGATGGCCCCTGCTAAACAGAGCCAGTCGGCGTGGGATAGCGACGAGGCGCAGGACTTCCCCACTAATCACCTGAAGCTGCCAACCAGAAAGCCGTCAAAGGAGTTCCGTCGTAAGTGGGACGTCGTCGACGCCCCACCTGCCAAGAACGACGTCGTTGACGAGATCGCCGTTACGCAGGTGGAGATGACGCAGGAGAAGGCGAACGTGCCGGACTCCTGGGCGGCCCAGGATAAGTACAGCTCTGACAGCATGTCACTCGCGAGCAGCGGCGGCAGTCCGGGAATGGTCGACCATGTCCCGGTTCCCGCTTTCGCCAGCTTGCCCGTCCCCGTGCCACCCCCAGACCAGGTCCCCGTCCCTGTGCCACCCCCGTCGGCGCAATCGCTGATGTTCTCCGTGCCGCCGCCAGGGCTGCCCCCAGATCGACCACCAAGACCGCCCTCAAGGCATCCCCCAAGACCCATGGACACTGCTGAGGAGCCCCTTCCGCCCGGCGTTGAGGAGGCAGAGTCGCCGTCCAAGAGCAGGGCGCCCATCACCGTGAAGCTGGCCGGCTCGGCACGTCGCGGCGTGCAGCGCGGCGTGCAACCCCTGGCGCTGTTCGACGAGGAGGTGCCGCAGCGCCCCAAGCCCTTCGCTCTCTCACCACCGCCGGCCCCCGCCGCTGCAGCCACCCTCGCGCCCGTGCCCGAGCCCACGCCTGCGCCCGTCCCTGAGCCCTCCGTCGTTGCTGAGGCCTCCCTGATGGAATCACTCCCCAAGCCAGCCGGCCGGTGGAGGTCCTTCGGCAGCGAGGTGCCGGAGACCAAGGACGATGATGCTGCTGGTGACAAGGCCATGATGACCATGATGAGCGCACCTACCACGCCCAAGGGACCAAAGGGTGTCGTGGTTGCAGTGGTTGGCAAGCGCACCCCAGAGGAGTTGCGGTCCAAGCGCAAATCCCGGTGGGGCGAGAAGCCGCCCGAAGAGCCGGAGCCCCCGACGCAGGTGGAGCTAGTCAAGAGCGAGGACCTGGAGGCAACCCCACCGCTGGCCCTGCAGGCAGCCTTGCAGGCAGCCATGCAACCAGTCGTGCAGCCAGCAGCCGCGGCGCTAACCGGTCCGGTGGGCATTGATGGGTACGCAGCATTCAACGAGTCCACTTGGCAGGACCCTGCCTTTCAGGACCCTGCATTTCGGGACCCTGCCTTCCAGGACCCTGCATTCCAGGATCCTGCATTTCGGGACCCTGCATTCCAGGACCCTGCGTTCCAGGATCCCGCGTGGCAGGATCCCAGTATGGACATGGGGCTCCTAGGCGGCCCATTGGACAAGACTGACTTTGACAACTTTGACCTGGCTCCAGCCCGGCCCGAGGACCTCCCGGACGCGGAGCGCCGCCGTGACCGCGAGCGCGACCGAGATCGCTCCAAGCGGGACCGCGACCGCGACCGGGACCGCGACCGAGGCCGCCGGGACAGGAGGGACGATGGGCGGAAGCGACGCAGTCGCAGCCGAAGCGCCGAGCGCCGCGGAAGAGACTACGAAAAGGACCGGGATCGCAACCGAGACCGGGACCGTGACCGTGAGCGGGATCGGGGCCGCAGTGGTCGCCGTGATCGGGACCGCGACCGGGACCGGACCCCGGAGCGCGACAGGGACCGTCGCCGCAAGCGCGAGGACGACCGCAAGGGCGGCAGGGACCTCGGCAGGGACGCCGGCAGGGACGCCGGCAGGGACCCCGGCAGGGACAGCCCGGACAAGCGCCGGCGAGACAAGCGTGGGCGGAGCTTATCGGGCAGCGAGGAGAGGGGCTCTGAGAGGAGCGAGCACAGGGCCGAGCGGGCCGAGCGGGCCGAGGCCAGAGTCCCCGACGTGCACCTGGAGGGTGCCCGGGGCCACCCTGCCCACCCGTCCGCTGCCTACGGCCAGGGCTACGACCAGGCCTACGACCAGGGCTACGACCAGAGCTACGACCAAGGCTACCACCAGACGGGCGTGCCGGGCGTGACGAGTCTGCCCCGGCTGCTCCCGGGCGTGCCCCCGCCGCCCGTCAGCTTAGAGCTCCAGCCCGATCACGACCAGGGCGCACTGGCCAGCAGCAGCAACTCCCCCGTCATGGGCTACCGCCGCAGCTTGGCAGACTCCACCACCATCGACGCCGACCTGGTGAGTGATTTAAACGAAACCTGCTGCCTAGTCTCTCTAATCAACATGGCAATTCATGAATCCTGAACTTCTTAGTCCTTCTGTTCCCACCCTTACTCTTTCCTTTTGTCTTTTTCAGGGCAAACGTGACAAGGTCACGCCAGGACCCGTGGCGAGAGGCCAGCGCGGTGGCAGGAGTAGAGAGTTTGACGAGTCCAAGCCGCAAGGGACGAGGTCCCAGTTTGAAGATGAGGAGGAGGAAGATGGTAAAACGCATCTACATAGCCCATTTACTTGCGGCGCACGCGGCCAGGTGGTCTAACATTGTGGTTCTTATGTTTCAGAAGAGGAGATTTCTTCCCCGTCGCCCAAGAGGATATCGTTGGACGATCGGATCGAGATGGAGCTGGGCGTGCGCCGCAGTCCTCCCTCCGCGCCCTCGCTCCCGCCGCCCGCGCAGTACTTGTACTCCGCCTACGCGGGCTACGCATTCCCCGGCTACCCCGCAGTCGGTGCGTGCCCAGGCTCTGCTGGCTCTGCTGGCTCTGCTGTATGTGTGGATGAGAGAGAGTCGCCTCTATTTCCGATGTGCTCCTCGTTTGCAGCCGCGCAGCAAGCAGCCTCCACTGCCTCGAGGGTCCTGCAGGTGGGCAACATGCTGCAGGTCGTCCCCGTGGAGACGCCGGCCGCCGCGGTGCCCGTCCCTGTCGCTGCCGCTCCTGTGGCCAGCCCGCACATTCCTCACCTTCAAACCATCCCGCCTGCGGGAAAAATATCCAAACAAGCCAAGGTAATGTCCGCTTTCAGGCACCATGTTCCACGCTCCGCGTGTTTTTACTACACCACTCTTGATTCCGTGGATCTTGCCCACGGCACTGTCTCTAACGAGTCTCTTCTGTCTCTCTGTGCCTCTCTCGCCCGTGTGCTATCAGATTCAACAAGTGGGTAACATGATCCAGGTTGTGCCGTGCTCTCCGCAAGGGGGGGCCACCCCGAGCCCTGGAGGCCCTGGAGCTGGCGCCGGCGTCTCTCCAGGGTCCGCCCCTGGACTGTCTCCCGTCAAGAAGCTTACCGCCTCCCCGTCGCCGGCGCAGTCGTTCGCGACCACCCCCCTGCCTGTGCCGGCGCCCGCCGCCCCCGCACCTGTCCCCGCCCCCGACCCTTCCTTGGCCCCGGACCTGTCCCCTGCCCCGGCACCCGCCCCCGCCCCGGCTCCCGCCGCCGCCCCCATGGCCACTAGTCTCGCCGCTGCCGCAGCTGCCGTCGCAGCTGCTATAGCTGCCAACTCGCCTATTGAAGCTGCCAAAGGTAATACATCGCGGTCACATGTACTCTCCTCAGCCGCTTGGTCATGATGGTCACTAACCAGCCCCTCGTTCCCTTCCTTACAGAGGACGCGCCCACCCCCACCAAGTCCATCACCGAGCTGCCCTTCCTGCCGCCCGACCTGGTCTCGGCGATGGAGGAGGAGCGGCTGCGCAAGCGCAAGGCGCGCGAGCTGCGGCGGCAGCAGCGGGAGGAGCGCCGGAAGCAGAAGGAACTGAGGCGGCAACAGAAAATCAAAAAGGCCACCGAGATTTACAAGGTACTGTAGCCAGCTTACTGTGCATGCTCAGAGGTTTTATTAGGCGAAACAAATTTCTAATCCTTATTTACCTTACAGAAAAGCAAGAAATCGAAGGCTCTTCTTCAAGAAGGTCAAGTGCCACGATCTGACTTTGAAATAGAAGAAATGAGACTGATTGAGGTAAGGGACAACGATCTAAACAAGAGAAAAAGAGGGCTTTTTTAAAAATTTTATATGCCATAATTTGATCATGTTCTAATTATTTTTGCAGGAGGCCATGATGAACTCTGATTTAGCTGAGGGTAATGTAGAAGGAAATGATGGAGAGGCAGCTTCTGCCAATGCTGAAGAGCTTGCACGCAAGCGAAGGCTCAAACCAGTGCCGTTGCCACCAGCTGGCAAGGGTATTTTAATATCCCCTGGATTTAGGTACGTTCTTTGTACTAGGTTTGTGATCCGGCCCCCTCTTACTTTTTTGTACAGTTATTTTTATCTGCCTTTGTTTTTTTTTAAATAGGGATAGACCTGTAGGTGAAGAAGATGGTTCTGGAACAGCTCCAGCTCCCAAAGAGGTCAAATTTGCTGATGGAGTCAAACCTGGAGATGGAACATCTCCATCTGCAGAAGAAATTTCCTCACCACTTCCTGCAGAAAAAGTTCAAAAGAAAAAAGTTGTCAAGAAGAAGAGAATGAAGAAGAAAATCAAGGTAATGTGCTTGATTTAAATGCGCTCTTCTGAAATGTAACTGTCACAGTAATGTTAAACTAATAAACTGCTCTTCTAGGTTCAAGTTGTTCGAACCTTACCTCTGGAAGAACTCGACGACGACGATGACGATGACAGCTCTCCGCCGCCGCCCCCTCCTGGCTCACCCCCAAGGACAGCTTACCCTGTCCCCGCTTACCCTCCACCTGCCTCCACCCCTGCTCCCGTCATCAACTCAGGTTTTACATTTCCACCCCCGGGTTTTGCAGGTACTTCAAACCATTTCAAGTAAATTGTAAATATTTATTCAATCAATATTGAATTAGATTTGTAACTTTTATGTGCTGTCGTTCCAGTTGTTCCCAGTGCACCTGCTGCTATGTTTCAACAATTCCCACCTCACCATCAACTACCCCCACCTGTTGTGCCAGCAGCTATGAAGAAGTGAGAATTTTCACTGAAGAAGTTTTCATCACTGTTTTATTAGTTTCAAGCATTATATTGTCTTTTTTGCAAAGTGTAAATGAATTTTGTTGTATAGAATTTTAAGAGGCACGGTTACAGCTTGAATTTGCTCATCAGAATGTTTGACATGTTTGTTTTCTAATGTAAATAAAACACAGCATTCTCCAAGGAAAATTTTTTGGAGCATGTGTCAAGACTGGCACCTGTGTGCGGTTACCTATAATTTACCAGAAAATACTAAAGCCATCTGGTAGTCAGTCCATTAAGTATTTGTTGTATTTGAATCATCTCATTTTCAGATTTGTTTTGTTTCCTCATTTTCTGTTGTTAATGTTGGCTTGGTTACTGTATTGTCTTGTTTTACTAATTATGATTTGAGAATTGAGGAAGTAGGAAAATGTTCTATTTTTAAAAAACAGATTAAATAAACTTAAGTTTAGGGCATTGAAATAACTTGTCTCCTTTGCTTTGCTGTTTCATTAAAATTCCTCCTTTAGGAGCGGGTCTTAATTGACCTGAGAGAGCCCTTTGATACAGTCAATCATGAAATACTTACCGTGGCAGAAACTTAAAAGTAATGGAATCGGAAAATCACTTTTCACATAATTTTACCTGATGATGAAAGCTTGGAGTTATATCTGAATTTCCCAATCAATATGGGGGCGCCCCGATTGTATAACATATAACACTATGTAACATTATGTTATTTCATTTAGTGGCAGTTGTTGAAATAAGAGCTAAATCAGGTACAGACACCATCAGGAGAGCAAATGAAGTGCCTAACTGCAGTTCCGGGCCTGGAAAAGGGTAAATGAAATAACTTACGCTATTTCACTAACATAAGTAAATAA